GGAGGAAATGGGAAAATTTGATGCTTAGGGAGAGAGAGAGAGAGAGGAAGAGAAGACATTTGTACATTCACTAACCGCCGCTTACCCCTCCACACACCGCCACAACCACGGCTACCCTCTGTACCATCCCGCCTTCCCACCAGCCAGGCCATATAGCCGCTGCTGCTTGGGTAGCGTTGTCATGCTTCTCTGGCAGGCTGCCAAACGACGCCACGAAGTAATGTCGCCAAAGATGAAAGAGGGCTTTCCAAACACCAAAGACCACGAGCCGAGTTTTAGTAGTTGCCATTTTTGCACAGTTCTCCCGCAAGTTTTTGTTGCTAATGGCACTGTTTTTTTTCCGCAGTTGCTTCTAACTAAGAAAATCGAGTGCAGCCACCACGACTGTTAGAAATTATTATGACTCCCAATCCAGGCCCAAAAATCCAGCGCTCTAGATGCTTCGATTGCCGAGTTACGTAAAATTTAACGTGTCCGTACATGAGTAGCAACGCGAGTGCTGCGAGTGCTTCTTCGCGTGCGGTTGCTCAAACACGCTTCTGGGCAGCGCATAGAAAATTTTAGCGTCCTTGCTGTTTTGGTTGCTAAGTTACGTTAGATTCCACGTGGGTATACGTGAGACGTGAAAGTGATGTGTAAGTCGTTTTTGCGCCCACTTGATCAAAGGCCACCGTCGGCTATGCTCAGAAAGTTTCAGTCCTCTAGCTACCTCAATTCTGAAGTTACAAAAGTGTAGATGTGAAATTTTCACATGTCCATACATGAGATGCAGAAGGGCTGGAAAATTCAATTAACTTTCAGGGGCACAACAGCGGGCGACAAGTAACGCCGCAAAATTGCAGCTCTCTACAACTTATTGATCAGCTTAAATCTGGAGTTGGCATAATGCCAGTTTAAACTTTGACGTGTGCGTACGTGAGTCGTGAGGGTGCATGAAGGCTGAATTTGAAATTTTTGGATTAGGCGCGACCATGGAACTCTGCGAGGTTCTAGCCTCCTAGCTTGCGCCGTTCCCGAAAACGCATTCCCGCCAAAAAAATTTTCACGTACCTGTACGCGAGAACCATGAGGGCCTGAGCGTACATTTTGAGAATAGAAAACCGCACGTATGTGTAGACAAAGTTACCAAGGGTGAAACCTTGTAGCTTTGTGGATCTTGAGATGAAAACTCATCACAGATGTACACACAGACACCTCTCGACAATATGCGTTTATGCACTGCTAGATGCAAAAAACGCTTGAAAAGCCACATTGTCGAGGTGTTGTCTGTCTGTGCGCTTCATGTTTTTGTATCTGTGTGTTTCCGCGTGTGCGTCTGTATGGCACCTGTACCGACTTTTCATCTCGAAATCTACAAAAGCTACAAGGTTGAGACCTTGGTAATTTAATATACACATACGCCTCTACCCTCCAAATGGGCGCTCACTTCCATGTGGTTCTCGCGCATAGCACGTGAAAATTTTCTTGGCGGGAAGGCGATTTCGGGAACAGTGCAAGCCAGAAAGCTGAAACTTCATAAAGATTTTCCTTGGCACTGTGGCAACATCAGATTTAAGATGACCAAGAAGCTGTAGAGAGCTGTAATTTTGGGACGTTACTTGTCGCCTACTGGTCCGAAGAAATTGAGCTTCCCAGCTCCTCTGCATCTTACGTGTCGACAGGAAAAAATTTCGCGCAGGCAGTTTTACATTTTCGGAACTGAAGCAGCTAGAGGGCTGAAACATTCTGAGATTGGCCGGCGGCGGCGTTTGATCAGGTGGCTGTGAAAACAACTTTCACGTTCCTTTCATATTTTATGCACGTGCTACGTACGAACACTTGAAATCCGATTTAACTCCACAACCAAAGCAGCTAGAGCGCTGAAATCTCCTGAGAATGACTGGGCAGTTGCGCATAATAAGAACTTTCACCTTTCCCCCTCACATATGGACATGTGAAGTTAGACGTAACTCTGCCACCACAGCAGCTGAAGTGCTTTCTCTGAGTTTGGCCCAAAATTGTGTTTGGGCAAACACGCGTGGAAAGAGCGTCTATGTATCTCTTTACACATGAATACGTGAAATTTGACGTAACCCCGTAACCGAAACATCCAGAGTACTGAATTTTTTGGACATGGATTTTGGAATCATTGCAATAATCTCTAGTAGTCGTAGTGGCCATTCCCAATTCTCCTAGCTAGAAGTATCTGTTGGAAAAAAAAACAGTACCATTAACAACAAAACCGGCGGGAAATTGTGCAAAAAACGCATCTTCGCTTCGGAAGTTGGTGCGCTGTTGACTAGATTGCATTTGCATAAATATGCAAAAACGCGCAATAACTTTACGAGCAAATTCACTGAATAAGCATGGAGAACAGATGGACAGTGATGCAATCAGAATATTTTTGATAGTAATTTGCAGCCGTTTTTGAAGGATATATTACATAGGTAATTACTATACTATAACAGTGATAACAGCATAATAATGATGTAGCAGTGATACTAACAGTGATATTTTTCCTCCTGTTTTCTTTTTTCCTCCGTAAAGAGACTAAATATATTACTTCTATTACTTCTCGCCAAGTCCTTTATTTACGCGTATTCCTCGTCATGCCCTTACATAGCGATAATCTCATAGGACCAGACGTCCTATGTGTCATTCGTACTAAGAGTTCCCAAGAGCAACATTTTTGTGAAAAGAAACTATAATAGGATGCAAATCCACATGGTTCTCATTTTATTATTCATATTTTAGAAAGAAGGCATTACATCGTTTTTCCACTTTTCAGTGAAGAACTGAAATTTTTGCATTCTCAAAAATTTGCATTCCTCATTTTTTCAAAAACGAGCATTTACCGAAAAACATGCAAACCGGGCTTCATGCAGAAAACTGGTAATCATGTACTTAGAGGCCCCCGCGGCCTTATACTGCAACAGTTTCATCCCAACGGATGCCCTTTCTCCTCCATGCCGGAAGTCACAGCGCGGCCAATATGAGCTCAAGTGTTAGGCAACAGCGCAGGGGTCATTCCTGATATTAACGATCTGCGAGTTTAGTGAAAAAACGCATGATCGCGTCGGCAAGTTTAGTGCATTCCAGCCTGGGTTTTAACCTGAACTGATTTAGCGACTGCATCGTGCTCCAGAAATGCAATGAGAGTATATAAAGACAGAAAATGTGATGTCTTATTTATGAAAGTAATCAAAGGAATGATGAGTCTCTAAACTGACAACTTTTAGGCAAAAAAGGAAATGCAATGTCAGTGTAAAAATTGAGAACTAACAACAGGTATGCACCGTGTGATTTATCTGGGGTAACCGAATTATTTAAACCATGAAAATGCGATTTCTTAGCAAATATACAGAAAAGATGTTTATTAAGAATGTAAAAAAAAATAAGTGTTTTTGAAGTTTTGTGAGACCGGTGACCTCGAAAGTTTAATTTTTTTTTAATACGAACCAGTTACAATACAATGAAGTGCAAGAATCAGATGGCACAGAAATATGCATCAAATTACATTCCAACAAAACCTCCTTCGCTCTTAGCCCACAGTTCCGGATTGATATAGCTTTCCATCTCATCTTCCGCATAATTCCCTAAAATTAATAGAAGATAGATGTGCAGTTTTACTGCTAGCTATGATCAGAAAAACTGAACTTTTGATCAAATTTTGAACAAAAGTAATGCGAATCTGAAACGGTATTTAAAAAAAAGCTCTCAAGTCAGCTGACAGTGGGATGCAGCTGCAGTGTCATGCTAGTGCCAAAGTTGGCAAAGTCTGCGATACATGCAAATATTAGTTAACCTAGTTTTATCCGATTATGCGCAAATTCGACCGTGTTAAAGAGAAAACACTTTAGTTAAGAAAGATAGCGCACAGTGGAAGAGTTTGGAAGAACCACTCCCAACATGTACTACGAGTTGATGTAACTATGAGTACTGCACGAAAGCCACGAAATCAGAGGATGTAAGAGACAGGATATTTCATAAAACAATTAACAATGCGGGCCGATATTAGTTTTACAGTTGACGAAAAATTCTACCAGATTAAAAAAAAAAGACGCTGAAAAAATAATCTACGTAACAACCACTAGTTTATCCGAATCAAAAAATAGGCACACTCTACAGTTCCAAATAGATATTGCAAATTTAAAGGTTTCTAAAAAAATCTCTGCAGATCCTAGAACTATTATAGGAAACGCCTAGACCCTTGTTGAAAGCAACGATCAGCTGTTGTGAACTGAGGGCAGAGATGAAAAAGGGGGACAGGTAATGATTATGACAAAGGCAACGGTGACCAATGGATGTTTAGTTATCGTCCTGTAGCAGTTCAGAAACAGAGCTTCATCAGATGAGCATCTGAAAAGAAGGTTTCACAATCTAAGGAAATCAGCCAGACAAACTGCGAAATTGGACGAAATTGGATGCGACCATCGGGCTACTTTTGAAAAAGAAGTATATTTTCACAGTGAGACAGAGTGAGCATAATATCAACTGGACAAAAGCAATCCTGACTGAACACAGTTAAGCACAGGGGTTGGCGGCATCTTGATAAGAGGGGCGCCTCAAACCGACAACCAAACAACCTGAGTGGTTTTAACAATAAAATATCTAACAAAAAATACATGGTACTGAGATAAAGAATGTTTCTGAATGGTAAATTATCAATGATTATGAGAAATAGAATGCATGCATCAGTTAGATGATCAAAAAATGGAAGACGAATATTTTTTAGCAAGTGAAAATACTTCATTTATGAGTACTTAATGGAGTTTCTGTAACGCCCTCTGTTGCTGCATTAGACAAAATAATACCTCGACTTTTTCTCGGAAAGCACTTGTCAGTGATATCGTGCACATCTTTCGCGTACTGCATCCGATTATCCTCAATAAGGCTTTCATCCCCATTATGGCACGCCTTCATGTGCTTGATCACATCTGACTTGGTGATCGTTGTCCATGTTTTCTTGCACTCACGACAGAAAAACATGGGCAAATGTAAGTGTCTGCAAACGATACCACTCACTGGCCTGATTGCCCCATTCGAAATTACGAGTCCCAGAATTATCAACATAAGGTGAAAAATGCAATCAACTGAGTTAAGACACAAAAATTCAAGCGGCGGACGCAACACTTAGCCAAAGGAATAAGAATTCCCCAAAAAAAAATGTAAAACCCAGTCTAATGAACGTAACACTGAAAAAAAAAAAAAAAAAAAAAAAAAAAAAAAAAAAAA